GGGGGGGGTGGAGGGGTGGATAGAGGAGTATATGGGTGGAGGAGGGGTGGACAGAGGAATGGATGGGTGGATAGAAGGGTGGATTGAGATGGATGGATGGGTGGGTGGATGGATGCCTGGAGGGGTGGGTGGGGGGGGACTGGATAGAGGAGTGGATGAGTAGACAGAGAAATGGAGGCGTGGATAGAGGGATAGATGGATGAGATGGTGGGAAGTCTGGGTGGATGGATGGTGGGAGGAGGGGTGGATAGAGGAGTTTTTGTGATCCGCCCACCTTGGCCTCCCAAAGTGCTGGGATTACAGGCATGAATATTTAAAAGATAACGATTGCCACGCACTGGTGGATAGAGGGATGGATGGGTGGATGCAGAGATGTATGAAGGAGCAAGTGCAGTAAATTATTAACTGCAGAATTCAAGTGGTTAGGGGGTTACACTGTGTGATTCTTTTCACGTTGCTATGGGTTTGAAAATGTCTGCAATGTTGGGGAAATTTATTTATAGACAAGACTTGTAACACACACACGTGCATACACTGCTAAATAACATAAGCTAAAGAAGAGATCACAGAAATCTTAAAAACCCAGAACTGGACCAGGTGTGGTGGCTTACACCTATATTCCCAGAATTTTAGGAAGCCGAGGTGGGAGGATCACTTGAGGTCAGGAGTTTGAGACCAGCCTGGGCAACATGGTGAAACCTCATCTCTGCTAAAAATACAAAAAATTAGCTGGGCGTGGCAGTGCACACCTGTAATCCCAGCTACTCAGGAGGCTGAGACAGGAGAATCACTTGAACCCAGGAGGCGGAGGTTGCAATAAGCCAAGATCACACCACTGCACTCCAACCCGGGCGACAAGACTTCATCTCAAAAAAAAAAAACCAAAAAACAGAACTGGATGATTATGAAAACACGGCACACCCAAGCCTGTGGGGGCCGCAGAAGCAGGACTTCCAGGAAGATTGCTACTGTGAAAAGAAGAAAACTTAAGGTTTGTAAGCTGTCTCCAATTCAGAAAGTTAGGGGCAGGGTTGACCATGAGGAGGCATGAGAGAATCTTACAGGAGATGGATTTTTTTTTTTTTTTTTTTTTGAGACAGAGTCTCACTCTGTTACCCAGGCTGGAGTGCAGTGGTGCAATCTCAGCTCACTGCAACCTCCACCTCCTGGGTTCAAGTGATTCTCTTGCCTCAGCCTCCCAAGTGGATGGGACTGCAGGCATGTGTTACCATGCCCAATTAATTTTTGTATTTTTAGTAGAGATGGTGTTTCACCATATTGGCCAGGCTGGTCTTGAACTACTGACTTCAGGTGATCCACCTGCCTTGGCCTCCCTAAGTGCTGGGACTACAGGCGTGAGCCACCACACCCGGCCAGGAGATGGAGGTGTTTTACAGCTCAGTTGTGCTGGTGGTTCCACAACTGGATGCCTTTGTCAAGTCAGAACTGTGCACACCAGACGAGTGAATTACACTATGTAAATTATACCTTAAGTTTTAAAAAACAAATTTTAAAAAGAGGAAGTTGGGAGGTAAAAAAAAGAAACAACAGAAACAGGGCAAGCCCGGAAAGCTGAAAAGGTGGAGATAAAAATAAGATCAGATATCAGTGAAATAATCAATGAAATAGAAAACAAAGAT